AATATAGCAGATGTCTTATCTTCTAACTCTGACTCAGAAGAGCTATAACCTTATTTTTCATATTTATCTTTTCAAAGACATGTTTCTTGGTTTTATTCTGAGCTATCAGTTTCCCTGGTGCTTGCTTACATTAAACATTCTAGTGATGTTTTTTCACAAAACAAGTGAAGGGCTGGCTCAGGGCAGGGATGCATGCCTGGGAGTGCAGAGCCCGGGTTCAACCCCTGAGCGCACACGGACCTTTCTAGCATCACTCCATGTAGCCTTGGTAGCCCCCAGCACTGTTAAGGAGATGCGCCCCAACCCCCTGAAAAATCTTTTTTTTTTTGCTTTTTGGATCACACCCGGCGATGCACAGGGGTTACTCCTGGCTCATGCACTCAGGAATTACTTCTGATGGTGCTCGGGGGACCATATGGGATGCTGGGAATCGAACCCGGGTGCAAGGCAAACACCCTACCTGCTGTTCTATTACTCCAGCCCCTGAAAAATCTTTAAGAAAAGCAAAAACAAAGCAATTTTATTTTAAGTTGAGTTTAGAGCAAAGACAGAAGTAGGTAAGACACCTGGGATAAATTCAGGATTGACACATTTAATCTAGTATTCAAGTTCCAGAGAGAGAAAAAGAAAGTAGAAAGGAGGACATCAATGAGAAAAGCAGTTCTCTTTAAACTCAAGGAAATCACAGGTTTCTCCTCTGACGCGGTTCAATCCAATTGTGAAAGGTTTCTTGCTGGGGCTGGAGTAAACCCTGAGCACTGTGGGGTCTGGTCCAAAAACAAAACAGAAAACTCTTTGATCTGTATATCTGGTAGAACGCTTGTTGCTCTGTGTCCTACAGATATGTGGGGGGGGCTTGGATTTTTTTGTGTATGCTTGTTTATTTGGGTTGCCAGGGTTTACTCCTGGCTCTGCACTAAGGGGGGACTGTATGGGTATTGGGGATCGAACCCAAGTTGGCCGTGTGCAAGGCTAGAATCTGCTGACCCTCATCTTTGATTCTTCTGTCCTGAACCTGTTGGAATTGGATTGAACCACGTCAGAGGAGAAACTTGTGATTTCCTTGAGTTTAAAGAAAACTGCTTTTCTCACTGATGTCCTCCTTTCTACTTTCTTTTTCTCTCTCTGGAACTTGAATGGCGGGGGCTCCGGCAGCCGAAGACCTCCAGGACCAGCCACCACCATGCCGAGACCACTCTCCGCACACCTGAAGGTACTGGCAGAGGGACAAATCCATGCGGGTTCCAGGGCCGAGATCTCCCAGCCTACTCGGATTGGAGTCGAGCATCCTCCACCCAGAACCTCCAAATTCCAGTAGGCAGGGGTCACACCCACCACCTGGCCCCCTGGCGCCGTGTAATCCCATCAATGGCCAAGACTCAGAGACTATAAAATCCAGCTCCTGGAACCGCGTGGCCGCATTCGCGGCCGCGCAACATCTTCTCAGGACATCTTTTATGACATCTTACTATCTCATTCCTACTTTGGACAAACTTGCAGGCTATCGAATGTAGCCTGCCCACAGGGCAGAGTCTGGCAAACTCCCTGTGGCGTCCCCAATATGCCAAATACCAGTAACAATGATGGGTCTCATTCTCCTAAAGAGCCTTGAATATAATCTCAGGGTTAGGATGAAAGAGACGTTACTGGGGCCTGCTCGAGGCAATCGACGAATAACAGGATGATGAAATGAAATGAAATGAACTTGAATACTAGATTAAATGTGTCAATCCTGAATTTATCCCAGGTGTCTTACCTACTTCTGTCTTTGCTCTAAACTCAACATTGACTTTACTATTTTTCACCTTATTAGCCTCAAAAATTAGGCTGTTATCTCTGTCTACTCACCAATTTTCTCTTCTTGTTTACGTTTGTGGTTCTAGTTTGGAACTCCTATGTTAACTTTCGCTTCTGTACTTGCTCTCTCTGCTCCTGCTTCCATCTGCCTGCCACCTGCTTCCCCTTTATCAAGACAGTTCAGAGGTTTTCCTTAAAGAATCTCCTTTTGAAAGTTTCCACCTCAAATCCCATTCAAAATATGGTGGTGGAAAGGTGCAGTGGTGGTGAGATTGGTGTTTGAATATTAAATATAATGAATTATTGTGAGCAGCTTTATAAGAATAAAATAAAATTAAAAAAAAGAATCTCCTTTCTGTGCACCACATCCTCCTGAAAGACCTTGACTGCAGTGGTAAAGGGGTCCCATTTCACCCTCAAAAACGGAGGATGGACTTGCAGGATCTTGGGGATTAGAGTTGCTGCCTTTCTTCCCCCTTCTCTGCCCTTCCCTCCCCAACCCCATCCCCACCCCGGCCTTAGCTATGACATCTGCAGTTGCATTCAGCTCTGCAAGGAGGCTTCCAGACCCACCTTCAAATCACCCTCAGCAGACAAGTCCTGAAGCAGTTCTGAAATCAGCTTTAACATCACCCAAGCTGCTGCCAGAGGCATTGCTCCAAAATACATGAGAATGGAGAAAGAGAATACGCATGCTCAGAATCCCTCAGGGTGCTGATCTGACACAAATGAAATTTTTTTTTTTTTTTGGCAAAGCAGGAAGAGCTCTCAGGGGTTGAAGCAAGTACTTAAGGGGCCTCACAGGGCGCCTTGGGGCCACAGTCTCACTGTTTCCCTGCCACACACACAGGTAATCCCAAGTGGTTGTGAGTTCTTGTGCTCTTGCCTGTTCCATGCCTCTGCCGGTCACTCCCCATGCTGAAGCTGACCTCTCCCCTGTACCAACCAGCAACAAGCACACACACACACACACACACACACACATACACACACACACACACACACACACACCTTGCCCTTCTCCTTGGATTTTCCCCAACAGACATAAGTTTGTGAGTCAACTTTATTAAATTGTAGTCTCCTCTCCACAAAGGATTTGGTCTGACAGAAAACAGATACGCGGTAACAAGAAATGATGAAAGAGTGAGGGGCAAGTTCAAATGGAGAGTGCAGGTAGAAATACAAATAACATCAAGTGTGAGGTTAGTCCTACAAACGCCCTGACTTAGAGTCAGTTCCCTGCCCTCCCCATACATTGAGATACACTGGGGGCTGGAGAGAAGTGCAGGACAGAACCGACTTGCCTTGTATGCAGCTGGCCTTGACCCTGGTTTAAATCCCCGGCACTACATATGGTCTGCTGAGAACTGCCAAGATCCACTCCTAACACAGAGCCAGGAATAGCCCCTGAGCACTTCTGGGTGTGGCTGACTCCCTCTCCTCAAACAACGAGATATACTGAAAATTTGCTTCTGGGATTCTTAGTTGTCAAAAGCTAAGTGGGAAATACAGAGCTTGTGAGTTTCACACTGCCCAAAAGCTATACAGTATTTGTGCATGTTATTAAAAATTGAGAGATAGTTTGCTGTACTAAGGTATGATCTGATGAAGGTGACTGGTAAACTGTGAAGATCCTTATTTTATACTTTTACTGACCATCAAATATCATTCCAGGTAATCACCTTTCATTCTTTTTCCTTTGGATATTGATTTCCTTAAGCTATAGACAATAACCTCATTCCTTAGTCAAAGGCTTAATGGCTTAATATTTCTTTTTCTTTTTTTTTGTTTTTTGCTTTTTGGGTCACACCCGGCGATGCACAGAGATTACTCCTGGCTCATGCACTTAGGAATTACTCCTGGCTGTGCTCGGGGGACCATGGGATGCTGGGAATCAAACCTGGGTCAGCCGCGTGCAAGGCAAATGCCCTACCCGCTGTGCTATCACTCCAGCCCGATGGCTTAATATTTCTTCACCACTCAGTGTTTTTTTTTATACACACTGGTAATCAGGTTTTAAAGGTTAGTATAGCACCGTAGCACTGTCATCCCGTTGTTCATCGATTTGCTCGAGCGGGCACCAGTAACGTCTTCATTGTGAGACTTGTTACTGTTCTTGTCATATTGAATATGCCACAATCTCTGCGTGTAGGTGGGAAACTCTCAGTAGCTTGCCAGGCTCTCTGGGAGGGATGGAGAAATTGAACCCGGGTCGGCCACGTGCAAGGCAAACACCCTACCCACTGTGCTATTGCTCCAGCAAATTATTTTGAGTGAGTTGGGAATCGAACTAAAAATGCACCACTGTTCACACTGATGATGAATCTAGTAAAGACTTATTGAAAATGTCTTCATAATAATTATCAAAGTGGGATGATATTAGAACAATAGTAGAGTAGGTAAGGCCTTGCATGGTTCTAACCTGGGATTTATCCCTGGCATATGGTCCCCAGAGCACTACCAGGAGTAATTTCTGAGGGCAGAGTCGGGAGTAAGCCCTGAGCATTACTAGGTGAGACCTGAAAACAAACAAAATTATTATTATTATTATTATTATTACTATTATTAATGTGGCTTATATAATATATACTATGGAGAGATAAACTCAGTATATCTGTTTCACATGACTCCTAGTTGGCCAGTGGGTACATACCACAAAATAAAGGTCAGAGGCCTCAAGGAAAGCAGACATACAGCTTCTCAGAGGCAGAACAGGCACTTACTACAGAGGCCTGACTTCAACCCTGAGTTTCACTTTTGATGTTAGCTTATGCTTTGCTATGTAATACGCTGATCAGCATTTAATTACAAAATTCACGAGAGTGGAGATTTGGTTGATGGAAGGGTCTATTGCAAAGACTGCCAAAGGTACCTTGTTCTTTAAGTTTTATTCCCAAGAATTTTGAGGAAAAAGGCAACAGGCATTAGGCAAATAGATGTTGAAATTTGTACTTTTCATAAAGAAGCATCAGGACCCACCATATTCTAAAACACTTGCATTTAAGCAAATCAGAACATCTCACCAATTTTCCCTTATAAGTGGTGAAATATAGTACATTCTTTCTCAGGATGATCAAGAAAATTTACCATGGTACTATTTTATGAAAAAGCTAACTTCTTTTTTTTTTTTTAAAAAAAGCTAACTTCTTAAAAAAAAAAAAGAAAAGTTAGCTTTCACCGGCCAACTTTTGGTTGTTTCTTACCTGAAAGTTGCCAAAACAGCTTCCTCCTGGGAGGGTGACGTAACTCACAAAGGGAGGTCCCGGGGAAGGGAGGGACTCGTAGATCACCAAGCCTTCGCTTGGGAACGCAGCTCTCTGCTTCTGCTTGCTTTCCCAGAATTCCTGTAGCATTGACACGACATTCACTGAAAAGACAAGAAACATAATCAGTTATTATGTGCAGGTGGTATTGTAAGACACATTGATTCCTAAATGAGAGTACAGGAGAACAGAACAGGTGTATTTGGTGAAGAAAAGAGGGGCTTCCAGTAGTGAAAGAAGCACACAGTATTCAACAGAAATGTGTTCATTTCTCTAGGAACGTGACTGAAGGGATTCTAATTCTCACTACACTGCATTATCTTAAATTTACTCTAAAATTTTTATCTGTTTTGTTTTGGGTCCGCATCTGGCAGTGCTCAGGGGTTACTCCTGGTTGTGCTTGGGTGACCATATAGGATACCAAAGAATGAACCTGGGTAGGTTCATGTAAGGTAAACACCCAACCCACTACCATTGCTCTGCCCCTAAAATTTCTTTCTTTCATTCTTTTTATTTGAGATTGAGTTTTAAAAACTCTCACTCTCCTTAAAAAATTTCTCTGAATAAATATAAAATATCATAATATGAGACTAATACTCAAGAACAGTAGAGACGGGGCCAGAAAGATTGCTCCATGGTTGGAAGCCTGCCTCATGAACTGGGGGAGAAGGCAGCTGGGATAGAGAGGGGATCACTAAGTCAGTGATGGTTGGAGGGATCACCTGGGGTGGGAGATGTGTGCTGATAGTAGATACAGGACCAAACATGATAACCTCTCAGTGTTTGTATTGCAAACCATAATGCCCAAAAGGAGAGAGGGGTATGGGGGAAATTGTCTGCCATAAATGGAGGGAGAGGGGTGGGGCTGGGGTGGGAACGGATACTGGGGACACTGGTGGTGGAAAATGGGCACTGGTGGAGGGATGGGTGTTCGATCATTGTACGACTGGAACTCAAACATGAAAGCTTTGTAAATGTAGCTCACAGCGATTCAATTAAAAAAAAAATCTCTGAATAAACTCTGTCTAGAGTTATGATTATTCATTGTCCCGACCTGTATTTCTCATAGACTTGTGAGCTTACACAATGAAAGAAAAGGAAGTAAAGATGTAAGCAATGCAAATTTCTTGAGACTCATCTCTTGGGAGACTTAAGAACAGAAAGGCACAGATAGACTGCTCCATAACTAAAAGCCTGCCTCAGGAGCAAAGGGGAGAAGGCAGCTGGAATAGAGAAGGGATCACTAAGGAAAAGATGGCTGGAGGAATCTGTTGGGATGGGAGATGTGCGCAGAAAGTCGATAAAGGACCAAACATGAGAACCTCTCAGGGTCTGTGTTGCAAACCATAATGCCCAAAAGTAGAGAGATTATGGGGAATCATGTCTGCCATGGAGGCAGGGGGAGGGTGGCAAAGCAGGGGGGGGGCGTGTACCGGGGATATTGGTGGTGGGGGATGTGCACTGGTGGAGGGATGGGTTGTGATTGGGATTGTTGTGTGATTGTAACCCAAACATGAAAGCTTCTAACTATCTCATGGTGATTCAATAAAATTTAAAAAAAAAAAAAAGAACAGAAAGGCAGAAAAAAAGAAGATGGTTTCATGTCCCTCCCCACCCAGATGCAAAGAAGAATGCAAGGTAATTGTGTAATGGTAGGGAGCTGGGAAAATCTATGAGCGAAACTAATAATGCGGGGACCATGTCAAGAACTAGGTCAGCTCAATGACTTCAGAAAGCATAGCAGTGGCTAGAGCCATATGTTCTGAATTTAGTGACCTGTGATAGCCTGCAGAAGTTCCAGATCAAATTAGGTTGGTTTGTTTATCCTGTACTGCAAATTGAGTTGTGGAAATTAACAAGGATAATAAAATTGTGAAGTCAAACGGGACATGAAAGGTCATGCAGGCAAAGCTCTGCCTCATGCAGGAATTCCTTGTGTAATGCCCAGACAGCTGCCACCTGAATGTGCGAAGACCTGGCACTTGACATATCTCAAGGCAGTCAGTCTGTTGCAATTACTAATGGCACTAACTGTGAATAGGTCTCTTAGGGGAATGGAAGGTGCTTCCTTTTAAGGTTCTGATAAGGGGTTGATTTGCCATTTCTGAGGCCTTATAGATATTGATTGCCTTATTCACACGAAAGCTCAGCAGACATTTGATGACATGGTAGGGCGTCTGTTCTTTCCATCTGCCTGGCATTTGCATTCTCTCCCTCGGGGCATTGCAGACGTTCCCCTTGAAGAATCACATTCCCTTTAATCAGGCCTCTCCAGAGCTGAGGTGTGGGGATTTGATCCACGCTAACCAGAAAGCCAATGAAACCAGAATGTCAGTTGATTGTGAAATGGTGGAAGAATAGGCCCTCTCTCTGTGCTCTTCTCCCATTACACACACACACACACACACACACACACACACACACACACACAGAGGTATGCATGTGCAAGCACACACATGAGTCTCTTGGAAGGAGAGGGGAGGAAAAAAAAAAAGGTGCTGCCCAAGCAAGGAGCAACGGGGCTGAGAAAAAAAGAATGCAAGAGAAGATTAAGTTCTGAGCTCTCCTGACACATTGAGACCCTGGGTCCAGCTATGTCCACATCTAGGATATCCGATTGTGTCTTTGAGTCATCTGAACAAAGCATCTGCTTTGTTTCCTTAAGCTGTTTGTACTGCTGTCAGAATCAGAGCTTAGCTTAGAGGTACTCATCATGTACGGCACTTTCTTTCTTTCTTTCTTTCTTTCTTTCTTTCTTTCTTTCTTTCTCTCTTTCTTTTTTTAAATTTTATTGAATCACCATGAGATAGTTACAAGCTTTCATGTTTGGGTTACAATCACACAACAATCCCAATCACAACCCATCCCTCCACTAATGGACATTCCCCACCACCAATATCCCCGGTATATCCCCCTTTCCCACTCCCCCTACCTCCATGGCAGACATGATTCCCCATAATCTCTCTCTACTTTTGGGCATTATGGTTTGCAATACAGACCCTGAGAGGTTATCATGTTTGGTCTTTTATCCACTTTCTGCACACATCTCCCATCCTGACCGATTCCTCCAGCCATCTTTTCCTTAGTGATCCCTTCTCTATTCCAGCTGCCTTCTCCCCTTTGCTCCTGAGGCAGGCTTCCAGCTATGGAGCAATCTATCTGTCCCATGCATATACTACTATCCTTAGGTATCAGCCTCATGTTATGTTGTTTTATACTCCACAAATGAGTGCAGTCCTTCTATGTCTGTCCCTCTCTTTCTGACTCATTTCACTTAGCATGATACTCTCCTTGTCTATCCATTTATAAGCAAAGTTCATGACTTAATCTCTCCTGCCTATATGTTCATTGCAACACCGTTCACAATAGCCAAAATCTGGAAACAACCCAAATGCCCTAGAACAGATGACTGGTTAAAGAAACTTTGGTACATCTACACATGTACAACACTTTCTAGGCTGCTTTACTTCTGTCTACTTCACTTATCAGCTTCCAGTATACATATAGTTTAGGCAACATGTAAGGTGTCCAAGAAATTGGATGGCTGTGAAAATCTTAAAACTTTGGTGTTTAGTATTTAAGAAATGTTTTGGGAATGAAACTGGGAAAATATAATAATTCCAGTGGGAATAACTGATTTTTTAGTTTATAAAATTCATATTGGAGTAAATATTGCTCATTACAGAGATTTTTCCTGAATTAAGAATATTTGAAATGATTTTCTTTTTCCTTCTTCAAAACAGAACTGCAACTTTTATCTTCTAAACTGTGTTTCTGTCTCCCATCTTCTCCTGTCTCCCATTTTCAAGAAAACGTTTTTTTGAGCTGGTATGTGTGTCTAGTTGCGATTAACAGCCAGAATTTAGTGATATGCCTTGAAGATTGAAGTCTAAAGTCAAAGCTTGTGGCCTGGTGCTCTGTTGGTCAAGAAGGATCACTGTCCTGCCAAGTCAGTTGTTCCCTGCTGAGTGACATTTAGCTGAGAAACGGAGCAGACCGACGCAGACTCCTGATCAGGTCAAGCGAACACAAGAATTTTGGCATGTACGGTTATGTGGACCAAGGAGTACTAAGGCATGTAGAATTATGCATGAACTAAAGCAGCACTTGTCAAATTTTTCATTCTAGGAGATTTCTTTGATGATCCCATGTATGTCAACGCCTCAAAGAGTGCAACGTATGCATTTCATGCACTTGCACACACATAATCCATCTTTCTATCTCTGTCTCCGCTGGCGACTGGAGAAGCAGATGAATGGAGTGCAGAGGGAAGAAGGCCAGCTCACCTCTTGGAATCTCAAAGATGGCTACATCAGAGGATGCTCTGTTTATGAAACACATGCTCCTTCATTTTTTTTTTTTTTGAGTAGCAACAACAAGGGTCATGGACAGTGTCAATGAAGATGTGAGCAAAGGGTCCTCTACCGCTGATGGAAACCACCCAGGTCTGAAGCTCCAAGTCTGAGGCTCGGCCTCACCATGGAATCTATTCCAAAGTCTTGTCTCCAGCTGCACTGAACCTGCAATTCTCAGCCCATCACTTGGAGAAGGTGTCACCTTTGTTTCTTATTTATTTAATTATTAGGGATGGGGGTGGTGTTGGTGCTCAGGGCTTATGCTCTGTACTCAGGGATCACTCCTGATGAGTTTAGGGGACTAGATGGGCTACCAGGGATTGAACTCAGGTTGGCTGCATGCAAAGCAAACACCCTCCTCACTATAGTATTGCTCGGGGCCTGGGCGGTGGCACCTTTGGAGAGTTGTTAAGTACAGTTGAAGTCGTGAGGGTGGAGAGAGCCCCTGAAAGAAAAGGAAGTGTTTTCAGGGCTTTCCTCTTCATCATGTGAACATGCAGCAAGAATGTGGCCCTCCTCCTGCCAGGAAGAAGGCTCTTACCAAGAGTCAAATCTACTGACAATGCAGCTTGGGTCTCTCAGCCTCCAGAATCACGAGAGGACCAATGTCTAGTATCAATCACCTGTGTACTGGTATTTGGGGTCAGCAGCCTGACTTCACAAAGAGAAGCCTTTTCAGTGGCTCTGAATATGTCGTGTGACAAGACGCGGTGCTCTGTGTTTACAGACAAGTGTGACTGCTTTATTTA